GCCTCTCTGCTATAAAGACGAAATGGTTGGTTTCTTGGCCGGACGAGCCGGACTTCCGGCATTTCGTTGATCGCCTTTTTGACCCCTTTTCAACTGCTACTCCACGCTCCATGGCCTCGGAACTCGGCTTCCGGCCGTCGGAGCTTTCTTTCTTTTCCCGGAAGTCTATTTCTCCGATCAACCTCCGATTTCCCTTCACCCCTCTAAGGAAAACGAACCCAGAGCCGCCGATGAGGTGGGCTTCCAGTCGCCGGCTTGTTGTTGCTGCGAAGAAGCCCCCAATCGATGGCGTTCCGGCGGAGCTCAACAAAATCGCTTCCCAGAAGCTGGACTCTGCTCCCGCTCGTCGGCGGGTTCGATCGGCTTTCATGGAGCTTCAACAGCAGCTCGATCACTGCTTGTTCAAGGTTTGGTTTGTAATTCCTTTCACATTTTGATCTCTGGGATTCCCTGTTTGATCGTTTGGCTGAAGTTTTTCTCTCTGAATTTGTGAATTTGGATTGGGGGATTTGATCCGTAGATGGCTCCTCCTGGGATCAGGACTGAGGAGGTGAGAAATGCTGTTTTCAGTTAATATTTCCAATTGATTTTACCTTTGTTTTGGTCCATATACCCAACATTTAGGAAATTAGTTCTGAAATTAAGCTCGAATAACATGGTATGGGGGATTTCAACACCCCAATTTTGAGGTTTTAATCCATTTACTCTCAGTTTGCTTTCAGTATCGTTAGAATCTGAATCTGATTGATGCTTCGGATGTGTAGTGGTATGAGTGTAATTCAAGGGGTCTGAATATTTTCTGCAAAAGATGGTTCCCTGAGCCAGATGTTCATATTAAGGGTGCTGTGTGTTTTTGCCATGGCTATGGTGATACCTGCACTTTCTTTTTTGATGGTTTGTAGTCGCTTCATTTCTCGTTTCTCTCCGTGTTTGCCTTGATGTTCGGGCGACTTCACGTGTATCTTGACATGTGGTGGCTTAAATTTTCAGGAATTGCCAGGCACATTGCTGCATCTGGGTATGCCGTTTATGCGATGGACTATCCAGGGTTCGGTCTTTCGGAAGGATTGCACGGTTACATTCCCAGCTTTGATCAACTAGTCGACGATGTTATAGAACAGTACAAGAAGTTTAAAGGTTTGCTGCCATGGTTGATTACTCTTGCAATCATTTTTCGTTCTTTTTCGGTTGGAAATCAACTCTTGTTTCGTGTTGCAGGGATAGCTGAATTGAAAGGATTGCCCCATTTTATATTAGGACAGTCCATGGGGGGAGCTGTTACCTTGAAAGTTCACTTGAAGGAACCAAAGCTTTGGGATGGAGTGGTTCTTGTGGCTCCCATGTGTAAAGTGAGTTCAAATATTTCCATGCAATTTGCATCTACTTTTAAAAAACTAATATTGTGAGGGTAGAAGATAGATCGTATTTTAGCATGTACAGATTTTTGAATACTGATTTCATGGTTTCTAAGATTGCAGACAATGTGAAACCGCCAGAACCCGTGCTTAAGGTTTTAACTCTAATGTCTAGTGTTGTGCCAAAAGCCAAGCTTCTACCAAAGGTCGATCTCGGTGCACTGGCTCTCAGAGAAACAGAGAAAAGGAAACTGGTTTGTATTCCTTTACATTCTCTACATAGATGCATACAGATGTATTATACATGAAGCCTTGTTGATTTTAGTTCACTAATAATACGTGGTACGCATCTGTAACCTGTGACCCGAGCGTCTATGCTCTGTAACCCCTTAAGTCTTAGACCATAGAGCACCATCATGAATGTCATCGAAATTGATGGTGCTTCAGTGCTAGAGAATTTACTGCAAGTACGTTAGTGTTGCAGTTCAGAGCTAGTAAATTCGGTTGGTCCAATTCTCTGTGAATATTGTAACATGAGTAAACATATCGATAAGTATAAAGAGAAACGAATCATTGATGCACGTAAACATTTATTTCTTTCATTTGGTTGAAGAATCTTTCACAAACTTCAACAGTGAGCAGCTTACAGTTGTCTTGTAAGAGTCCCTTCTTTATTTAGAATAGAACATTTGAAAAACTAGACCAAGAGAGGAAGTTTTAGGAACCTTAATTTTTACCAAAGGAAAACTATTAACAAAATCTTTATCTTACCTTTTCTCATGTCTATCTTTTAGGCTGTTTATAATGTGATATCGTACGATGATCGGATGCGCGTCAAAACTGCAATAGAACTTCTAAAGGCGACAGATGAAATCGAGAAACAAGTGGAGAAAGTGAGCATCTTTTTTCCCATATCAACATTCCTTGTGTTCCTCCGATGCTGATCTTGTTATTACTTATTTCATTTAGCATCCACTGATTCTAGAGAATCTGTAGGTCTCTTCACCATTACTGGTTCTTCATGGAGCTGCAGACAAGGTGACAGATCCTAAGATTAGTCAGTTTCTGTACGAGAAGGCGTCGAGCAAGGACAAGACTCTGAAACTCTATGAAGAAGGCTTTCACTGCATCCTTGAAGGAGAACCTGATGAAAGAATTTTCACTGTTCTTAATGATATCATCCACTGGCTCAATTCCCGATGCTCCTCGACGTAGCTCTCGATTAACTGTACAACGATATTCATCTATTGTTTATGGTTTTTTGTGACAATTCTAGTCCTAGTGAGAATAAGTTAGATGTAACTTACTCTTCGGTGCTCTCAAATAATATGTTTTAGTATTGGATTTAATAGAAAGCTCATGAAACAAAATTTTAAGAATTTTACAATTCTATGTATTATTTGTGAGTATCATCTCTAAAGTAATTGTCAAATTAATAGCTACTGGGTTAGCTAAACTTAAGCACAAAAAAATAAAAAAACAATCTAGAACTTCAAATTTTACATTGCCATCTTCTCAAGCTTTTTTTGCTATTTTAATCAGCAATGATATGCATTTTGACCAAAAAAAAAAATTATCTAAGTTATTTTCCAGTCTTTAACCATTTAAATAAACATCCATATAGATACATTATCCCTATGATAAGCTAAGATTTGTAACGACAATCCGGTGTTAGAAAATAAGAATAATTTATTTGGCAGAATAATTTTTAAATATAGTTTTTAGAAAAAGTAGGAATAGTTTTTGTTTCGTTTTGGTTTTGTTTTTAGTTGAATATGTGAGGGTGATGATTCAAAAATCAACCTTATGATCGATGATATATAATATACCTTAGCCATTTGTATTCAGTTGGTAGAAACTATATATTTTTTATTATACTTTTGAAATGAATTGTTAATTATAATTATTATTCATGGTAAACTATAACTTGATTTAAATATGTTATATTTTAAAACTAATACATAGAAGAAATAAATAGAAACATAATAATAATAATCATTATTATTATTTCAAAATAGTTTTCAAAATTAGGAAAAGTATTTTTTTTAAGTACAACAACGTGTGGAGTTGGGATAGCACGACTTTTAGATATGCAATACATATTTTAACTAACTGAGCTAATCTTAGGCGGGTAAAAAGTATAATAATGATTTTTTAATAGTCAAAATTAAAAAGTAATCAATAATTTGTAAATTACTTCTGGAAATAGTTTTATTAAACCAATTGTTTATTAACATGAGTAATTGATTGACTTAATTAATATATTTCTTTTAAATCATTTTAGGAAAACATTTTATTTATTTTTATCCCTGTGCAATATTATGTCAAGCCTTTTTAATTGCAGCAAGCTATTAAATTAATGTCATTATTAACCTAGAATTTTAAAATTAATAAGATTATTAATGATGGTTTGTTAATATAGTAAAAACTAGATAGTAATTAATAATTTGTAAATTATTTGTCTGTTGGATTTTATTTCCTAAAATAGTTTGTAAATGCCAGATATATTTTTATCATTCAATAAAGTTGTTATTGAACGTTATAATCAATAAGTAGTTATTGATCCAATAAAATGTTCTTACTAGATCTAAATCCAATTAACTAAGGATCTACACTGTTACATGATACTCAAACTTTATGTAGAGACATAAATATGAATCAAGTTTGAGTTAACAGTCTAAATGGTCTATAGTATAGGAATAAGGTTGGGCGCCTTATTCTGGGGACACTATGGATGTGGCCCACTTTGTAGCTAGTACAAACAATGTGATCCTAATTCGTTCATGTGAAGACATGCGAGTGGGGGCATCCTGTGCAATGAGTTTGCATAAGACCAAACCATGAGATAGTCACTTTTACTTTATAGCACCGTTTACTGTCTGAAATTGACTATCTCGACTTTCATGGCTTAGGTAACTCGATCTTAATCCTGAGCTAACTATGAACTTCTGTTTACTCGGGATTATCCTTAGATCTGCATGGGTGAGAGCAGCTCAAGAGCGCTGGCTCAATAAGCTTCCCATTTCAAGGGTAAAATCAGGTAGATAGTTAGGAACATAGGGTGCAAGAAGGAATTCACTCCTACCCAATTTTGGGATAGTAGAAAGGTTGTTCTCTTAAGGGTTGAATCCAGGTCTTGAACAATTGGCGTCACCCTCATCAAAAGATTTGAGAGGATTTTTTGATTTGATAGTTGGACTACAAATCATTGTTCATTAGAGTATCAGTGAGACTTAAGGAACAAAAGGTAATTATAAGGGTAAAACGGTATTCTGACCCAGTTGTAATTACGAAAAACCTGGGGCTTGGTTATATCAAATAGACATAATATATTTACAATGAGGAGAGTGCAGCTACGAGCTTTAATGAAGTGACCTAGTAGCTAACGAATATTGGTTAACTAGGTTAAAGAGTTTAAGCGATTAACTTGTAGGTCCATAAGGTCCCTTGGCTAGCTCATATAGGAATAAACTTGGAATAATTTGAAGGAATAATTCGAATCGTACAAATTAGGTTAAAAATCATATGAGATATGATTAAGTAATTGATATATGATATCAATTGAGAAATTTGGTCAAAATATTTAAATAGGATTTAAATATTAAAATTATGAATGCAGATTCATAATCAGTGGCATGAATTTCATCAAACAGTCGGATTTCAGAAAAAGTCAAATAGTTGACTTTTTGACCAAGAAAGTCAAAGGTTGACTAAGAAGATTAAAATAATGTTTTTAACCAAGTTGGTGGAAAATTTCACTAACTTGTTGAGTGGAACATTTAAATAATCTAAAAAAATGCACTTTTTGACACTTAACCATGACATGCACGAATGAAGTGTGTGTTGTAAGCTTTTGGTGAACTTAGACATGCATTTTGACACTTAGTCATGCCATGCATGAGTGAAGTATGTGTTGTAAGCTTTTGGTGAATTTAGACATGTAAGAGTTGTATGTAATTTGCCTATTTAAGAAGGCCTTTGTTCAAACATGAAAGTTCTTGGAACCTTTGGCCATTTGATGGTATTGAAAAAGCTTACATAACTCCTTTTAGCTCTATATTTCTCTCAAATTTTCCTTCTCTAAAAAGAGTCTCACCACTCTATTCCAAGCCTTGAGAATAGCTAGGAAGACCTCTTGGTGGTCCTCGCTAGAGCTATTTGAAGAAATTTGAAAAGCTACAAAAGTATGTAATTTTCTCTACCTTTCTCTAATTATCATAATGTATGATCATGCATGTTTAATCCTAGGTTGTAATATGCATCTAGATTGTTATTTCGATTGTTGCTCGCTTCTACTGTGCATGTATGATATTGTCCATCATTGTCGAAATGGTTTTTTTTCAAAACCAGTCATTTATCAACATGATTATTAGTTATTCTGCTATAGTGTAACTTGTATTATTCAGTTGTATGATTAGTTAACTAAAATAGTTCTTAGTTACTTGGTTACTCTTCCAATATTTAAAGAAGAGTTGTACTCTTTATTCATTAACGAGAAATCATCAATATTTTTCTCATCTCAGATTGCAATATTGTATAAGATGAATCAGTGACCTCTTATCATTGATTATGTGTCGGTTTTATCTATTTTCAGATGTCATTCCTTCTCGATTGGCGTGCAATTTTATTTGATTCCATTTTCCATGGAGCTTGCTCCTTCCATCACCACTAATTCGCTATCAGACTCACTCATCGATTCCTAGATCTTTCTTTTCCCTCAAATCTATCTGGAACTAAGCTTGAATAATCCATATTACCTTCATCACATTGACAACATCAACTTAGTTCTTGTTACTCAAGTTCTAAAGGAAGAAAATGACAATTCATGGAGTCGATCTATGCTTATCATTTTATCGGTGAATAATAAGTTAGGTTTTGTTGATGGATCTTTGGTTCGTCCTACCGGTGATCTGTTGCCCGCTTGGATTCGAAATAACCATGTGGTCATCGCATGGATACTCCATTCGATATCCAAAGACATTTCTGTTAGCGTTCCTTTTCAGAATCTGCTCACGATATTTGGTTGATCTAAAGGAGCATTTTCAAAAGAACAATGACCCTCGAATCTTTAAAATTAAGTGTGATATTACTACTTTAAGTCAAGATGAACAGTTTGAGTATCTATTTTATGAAACTCAAAACTACTTGAGATGAATTACAACAATATTGCCTTGTTTGCTTTTGTCATTGTTCCTATGGAGGAGCAAAATCGACCGGGAAATTTCTGCAGTTTCAATATATGATTAATTTTTTGATGGGCCTCAATGAGTCTCATGCCTCTACTCCGGCTCAAATTTTGCTGATGGATCCTCCTCTGTCTGTCAACAAGGCGTTCTCGTTGGTGCGACAAGAAGAGCAACAACGTTCGATTAGTTCTAGTTCCAGTGCTGTCTCTGCTTCTTCTTTTGCTATGACAGTTCTACATAGCACTACTCAAACCAAAACCTCGTCAAAATATAATTCCTCTTCTAGCAAGCCACGTCAGAATTGTCTGGTTTGCTCTCAGTGTGGAATTTGTTGGCCCTACAATTGATCGCTGCTATAAGTTACATGGTTATCTGCCTAGCTACAAGTTTCAAGGTCAGCATACTTCTTCACCTAATTCTCAGGTTAAGCCAGTTAATTTTGTTGCTTCTTAGCTACCCAATAGATTTCAGTGAAGAATTATAATCCTTTTGCCCCTACATTGGCGTCTTATTCCGAACCTGATGTGGTGCATCAATGTCAATAACTTCTTCAATTGTCGCAATATCAGATATCTACATTAGTATCTTATGGAGAAAATAGTGCCTCGGTCTTTCACATAGCAGGTACTACTTCATACTGGATTATTGATTCGATGTGTCTGTGCATATTTGTTGTTCCTAGTCTCTATTTGATATTATTACTAAAATACATCTTGTCTCTATGGGTCTGTTGAATAAATCTCGTTATGAAGTGGATTTCTCTAGTTGAATATGGTTATTCGATGATCTTTCTCTTCATGGTGTTTTGTATATACCACAGTTTCACTTTAACATACTTTCCATTAGTATGCCGTTAAAGGATATGCCTCATCTATTGGTGGAATTCTCTAATACCTCTTATATTCTTGAGGACAAGTCCACTTCGAGGATGATTGGCAGGGGTAGCTCGCTCCATGGACTTTATCCGCTTGATAATATGCATGTTCCTGTTGCAGTCTCCAACTTGTTTGTTCCCCAACTAGACATACATTTACCGTTATGCTTCTACTATTAAATTTCTGTTGATGTATGCCATTGCCGATTTGGTCATCCCTCTGGTAGATTGAATGTTCTTAAAGATGTTTTGTCTTTTGGTTCTTATGTTTTGAAAGATTCTTATTTTGATACTTGCAAACTTTGTCCGTCAGCAAAGCAAAAGTGTTTGTCTTTTCATTCGAATCATCATATGGCTACTAAACCTTTTGATCTTATATATGCTGATATTTGTGGACCTTTTGTTCACCCAACACATTCTGATTATAGATTTTTTCTGACCATAGTGGATAATTATAGTTGTTATACCTGGGTATTCATGGTGCGAAACAAGTATGATATTTGGGCTGTTATTCCCCAATTTTTCACATATGCGTTGACACTCAGTTTGGTGTTTCTATTAAGAGTTTTAGATCGGATAATGCTCCTTAATTTTTGTTTAAGGACTTCTCTCCCTCCAGAGATGTTGTTCATCAGTTCTCGTGTGTTGAACGTCCTCAACAAAACTCTGTAGTTGAGAGAAAGCATAAGCACATACTTAACGTGGCTCGTGCTCTATATTTTGAGTCTAGTTTCCATATCTTTATGGGGAGAATGTGTTTTTATTACTGTTTTTCTTATAAATAGAACTCTTTCTCTTGTCATATACAGTGGAAGTTTCCTTATACTTTTTTATTTCAGATCTTCTTAAGTTATAAAGGAAGATAGCGTGCACCATGCTCTCAAGTTTAGAAGAACATGAAGAGCACAGAGGTATGATGTCCAGACCCTTTTTGCTTAAATTATGTGTTGTGGGTAAATGATCATGAGCTGCTTTCCATAGAAATAATTTTACTTTCGGTGAAGTAGAGAGCTCCCAAATTGATTTCCACTGTTCTCCTCTGTTGCCATTACTTGTAGTTACTTGGTTACACTTTAGGTGCATGTATAACTTGTAACCACTTTTGAATCATATTCAAATGAATCTCTCTTGTATAACCTATATTTTTAATATGAATCTTATTCCAATTAATTATTTGAATTCTATTTAAATATTTCTCTCATAACATATAGTTTAATTTGAATATTTATTAAAATAAAACTATATTTATAATGTATCATAATATATATTATATATATTCCTTGATATATAATTTGAACATTTCAAATTCTCTCAAAATATTGATTTTTGTTTTACCCACTGTGAGCTAGCTAGCGGACCTAATGAACCTATAGATCATAAGCTCAAACGATACGAGATTAATTGATTAAACTCATTAACCAAATTAACCAACATTCGTTAACTGCGGGTCACTCCACTAAAAACCCGCAGTTGCACTCTTCTCACTACATAATATTTTTGTGTCCACGGATGTACGACCATTAACGGGAAGTCAATCTTTCACGAGTGCTTGTAACTCTAGTTATGTCAAATTACTGTTTTACCCCTGAGTTACATCTTACTCCTTAAATACCACTACTTCTCTAATGAACAATCTGGTTATGGTCTGACCAATAACCAGAAGTCTCTCTCGGGCCAGTGAGAGGGTGGAGCTCATTGTTCAATTCTCGGAGTCAGCATATAAGGGAACACTCATCTATTTCCCTAAAGTCGGGAAGAAGCGAATTCCATCTTCCAACTCCCCACTCGGTCTCGTCCCCAAAATGGTAGGATTATTGAGTCGGCAACCTGGGTCACTCTCACCCATACAAATGAAAGGACGATCCCTTATAGGTAGGAGTCCATAACTCGCTTAGGATTAAAATCAAGTTCCCTAGTCATCTTATGAGATAACAATCTATTGACTAACAGTATTAGAGCCAATGATTAATTATTTGAGCCAATGACTAATTATTTTGCGGTCCGGTCTTATACAATCTCATTGTATAGGATACCTCACTTGCATGTCTCTACATGAATGACTTGAATAAAGTCGTTTGTAACTATTACATAGTGAGCCGTATGCATAGTGTTACCAAAATAAGGTATCTAATCTTATCCATATACTATAAACCATTTAGGTTATTACTGAAACATTATCTACTTGTATATCGAATATATACTGTATATAAAAAATATACGTTGTATATTAAATATATACTGTATATCAAATATATACATTTTATATTAAATATATATTGTATATCAAATATATACTGTGTATCAAATATATACATTGTATATTAAATATATACTGTTCCAGTTACACTAAATAACCTTGGATCTTAGTTGATTGGAATATGAGTAATATAGAGAAATAATAAGATAACTCTTTATTGAATAAATAATTTGTTCATAAATTACAAATACACGAGCTACGGGCACCAAACCCAACAGTTTCTACTTCAGATGTTCCCATTACTCTTACCCATTCTCAGCAGCCTAGCACACTTGATCCTAATAGTAGCACTGATCCACTGTCTACCACACTTGGTCCTACTGTTAACAACTTGTTCGACGCTCTCCACAGGGGCGCCTTCTTATATGCAAGATTATCACTGCAGTTCATTGGCTCATTCTTTGCCATCTCCAGAATTTACTAAACACCTTTTGGATGATTATATTTCTTATGACAAGCTCTCTACCTCACATTAGTTTTTTTGTTCTGAATGTATCTGCCTCTTATGAACCCCAATTTTATTACCAAGCTATTATTCACCCTCATTGGCGGCTTACTATGAATGCTGAACTTGATGCCATGATGGGTAATAATACATATGGACTGTTGTCCCTCTTCCTCCAAATCGTCACACTGGTAATTGTCGTTGGATTTATAAAATTAAGCACAACTCTAATGGTTCGATTGAAAGGTATAAAACCCGTTTGGTTGCTAAGGGATATACACAAGAAAAAAGCTTTGATTTTATAGAAACATTTCTTCGATTGCCAAAATGGTTACTGTTAAGGTCCTTCTCACACTTGTTGTTTCTAAGTCTTGGCCTTTGATCCAATTAGATGTCAATAATGCTTTCCTCCATGGTGATCTTGCTAAGGAAGTATACATGGACTTGACCCTTGGATATAAACCTAATGTTATGGATCATTCTACCAGATCACGTTTGGTGTGTCGCCTTAATAAGTCCATTTACAGTCTTAAACAGGCTTCTCGACAGTGGTTCTCCAAGTTTTCTACTACCTTATTGCAATTAGGTTTCCAACAGTCTAAATCTGACTATTCTGTATTTGTTCGACGTTCTAGTGACACTTTAATTGCCCTACTTGTCTATGTTGACGACATAATACTCACTGGAGCTAATGTTTCTCTAATTCGATCCTTACAGTCCTTGTTGAATAATTAGTTTCGTCTTAAGGAGCTAGGTGGTTTGAAATATTTCCTTGGGCTTGAGATCACGTGTAGTTCTAAAGGAATTTGCTTGTCTCAAAGGCATTACACTTTAACATTGTTGGAAGATGCTGGCATTCTGGGTTGTCGTCCTAATTCAGTACCTATGGATCCATCACTTAGACTTTGTGCTTCCAGTAAACCTCTTTATGATCCTATTGTCTATAGATGTCTTGTGGGCCATTTATTATCTTACTATATCTGGTCCAGATATCACATTTGCARTTCACAGATTGAGTTAGTTTATTTATAAACCATGTAAATCTTATATTGATGTTGCGCATTATTTGATTCGCTACCTTAAGGGGTCTCTAGGCCAATGGATTTTTCTTTTGGCCTCTCATTTTTTTCCAACTTCGTGCATTTGCCGATGCTGATTAGGGATTTTGCCCGGACACTACGCGTTCGACCATTGGCTTTTGTGTTTTCCTTTGTGATTCTGTGGTATCTTGGAAATCTAAGAAGCATATAACTATTTCTTGGCCATTGTTGCTTGTGAGCTTGTCTGAATTTCTCATTTACTTGCTGATTTACAAGTTTCTTTCTCCCCTCCAGCCTTGTTTTTTTGTGATAATCAGGCAACTATCCATTTGGCATCAAATCCCGTATTTCATGAACGAACCAAACACATTGAGCTTGATTACCATTTTGTTCGAGATCTTGTTCGTGATGGATTTCTTCGTTTGCTTCCTGTTCGATCACATATGCACCTCACTGATGCTTTTACCAAGTCCCTTCATAATCCATCTTGAGGGGGCGTATTAGATCTTCTGTTATACTGTAACTTGTATTATTCAGTTGTATTATTAGTTAAATAAAGCAGTTTTTAATTACTTGGTTACTCTTCCAGTATTTAAAGAAGAGTTGTACTATTTATTCATTAATGAGAAATTATCAATTTTTTTTCTTATTCTCACATTGCAATAATGATTAATTGATTTTTCCTAAAAAAAACATGATTATTGTTTAAAAGAATCATTTATTTTTAGTACAACAACTTGGGGATACGAGGGATTGAACCTCCGACCTTGAGGGAATGAATACACGACAATTACTACTGAACTGTATTGTAAACCAAACAATCATTTATCAAGACGTGATTTACTTAATTTAGAAATATTACAATTAAATAATTTTAAGATTTTTTTTCTCCCTATGCTATGTTATGGTAGGTCATTTTAATTTCAACAAGTGATTAAATTAATGTCATTGTTAACCTAAAATTTTAAAATTAAGGATATTATTAATGGTTGGACTTAAAAAAAGATTATTAATGATGGGTTGTTAAAAACTAAAGAGTAATTAATAGGTAATCAATAATTTGTAAATGATTTGTGGAAATAGTTTTATACCAATCATTTATCAACCTATTGGAATAATATGATTTACTTTGAAATGGTGGTTTCAGGTTTTGTATTGTACTCCTGAACTAAATCATCAAATACTATAACTTGTTTTTTCAAATTTAAAATTGAAATTTACCAAACACTAATTTGTTTCATATCGTTACGTATTCAATCTTAAACTAACATAGATATAAATCCAGAAAAATATAGAACAAATAACTAAATTTCAACAAGAAACACTGATTTTATATTGGAAAATTTAGGTGGATGGCTAAATTTTGCCACCCGTTTTAAAAAATGTCTATTAGTTTTAAATTTTGCACAAATAGTTAAAGGGTATTTTAAGAATTTTATAAAAATACCCAAATTTTGCCATCCATGGAATTTCAGTATACACAAGTTGGTCTTCCAAGAAAAAAATGAAGCCAAAGGTTACAATAGAAAATTCCCCCAAAAGCAGCCCGCCACTCTCACTCACTTTTGAGAGGATGAATACAAAGAGTGATAAATGCCCAAGGGAAAAAAAACTACAAAACACCTTCTCTGTTTTCGACACTCTTAGCACCAAAGAAAAGGTCTCTGCTGTTGTAAGGTGTAGAGAAAAAAAAAACCAGTAGCTATATTCTCTGTTTTTCATAAAGATGTGCCGTAAAAGAGGCGACTGGAAACCTGATGTAAAAAATAAAAGTAAAAGAAATTTGGGATTAGTACACAACTAGCCTATTTTAGGATTCAAATTACACAATGAGTTTAACTTTTTAACAATTTACATTATTATCTAAACATTGACGTATTGTAGGTGGAATCCATCACGAAAATTACTCATAGGTCATTTCTAATATATGTTAAATAAAAATAAAAAATCAAATCAAATCAAATATGGAATAAATTTAGAATTTGGGTGATTTCCTAATTTTTGTTTTGAAATCCCTAAAATAGTGTAGCCATGTTTCATAACATACATAATTTTTGTTTTGAAATCTCTCCTTAATTTGAAAACCTAAAATCCCTCAAACACCACTACGCCCACATAAAAGACTAAATTTTTCATTGATTTTTTTTTCAAATCATAAAAATCGTGTCAGAGAGTTGATTAGATTTTTGATATATGACAAAATACTTCAAGGTATATATTATATAASCTAGTATTTGAGTATATACTACCAAAAGTTATATATTATAGAACCTAAAATATTTGAGTATGTACTACTAAATGCTATACATTATATAACCTTTTGAAGTAGTATATGTTTATCATATAATGGTAGTTGGATTATATTCTTTAACGTAATAAAAATCAAATCTAATCATTTAAATAAAAAACAAATTTAATCAAATAAAAGGGTAATAATTGAGGACAACCTTGAGATTAATGAAAATTTAAAATTTGAGGATCCAAATATGTAAAAATTTGAAAAGTTAAGCTATTTGTGAAATATAGTTTCTAAAATGGCTCATTAAAAGGAATTTCTCAAGAAACTTTCACCATGTTTACTACTAGCCCAAAATTTAAGCATAAAATTGGGCCCAATGCTGAACAACCGGCCCAACAAATATCCATTTGGTTGAAAACACTTCACATTGGTTTAAAAACAAATGAACGAAACGCCAGATCCTGTGTAAGGGCACATCTGATTTTTTGGTGGAAAAAAAATGGAAATTAATATTTTTTTTCTTTGGAAAGACGTGTAGGTGATAGATGTGTGTTGTGTAGGTTGGACACGTAGTTGTAAAAAAATAAAAAGGGAATAAGGAGCACGAAAAGGGAAAAAAATGTTCTACGTGAGTTAAGATCGAGCAGAGAGAAAGGAAAGAGGTTTTTGAACAGAAGGGAAGAAACTTGAAGATACTAAGCAATTGAAGCAAAATCTAAACTCATGAGAGTGGAGAATTTGTGGTTGGATTTTGGAAATGAGTTGGTGTATAGACCACTAATTAATAATCAAGCAGGGAATTTGTGTCAATGTGGGCCCAGTGGTAAGAAAAGATGAGAGAGAAAGAAATATAATTGGGATGTGGAGAAATAATGAGGTTGTTGATTGAATATTGTTAGTTTAATCTAAAGTATTTGTAGTTTTAAATTGGATTTAAGTGTAGGTTGAAACTTGGTTATTATTTCAAGACAAATAGAAATTGAAGCAGCAGTGAAATCCAAATTCACCTCGTTCGTAGGATTTGTTAGTAGTTATGATGTGATCATATTTGACCCAATACCCAAAATGACACCTACACCAATAATTAAGAGAAGCTTGAAGAAAGACCCTCCGAAGGAGACTTCATTGGACTCATCAACAAATTTTGACTATTTTGAAGGTCAATGAAGAATCCACTAGGGTTAGGAGGAAGCATGGAAAAGAAGAGAAACCAAGTGAATGGCCCGGCCCCTCTTCAAGGACAAGCCTATCGAGAGGCCACCCGCACGCACCCACCGTGAGGTGCACACCCCTGCGTGCGCGT